GCAAACACACATTCACACACACACACATTCGCACTCACACATTCACACACACATTCACACACATACACACACACACACACACAGAGGCACTCACACACACACACACTCACACACACACACACACACACACACACACACACACACACACACACGCGCGCGCGCGCGCGCGCGCCTTAAATCTTTTCCGCTGGAAACCTAGATAAAATTAGATGAGAGTAAATAATCGAGTAAGGTTTATTTTAGACATTGAACTGACTGCCTAGGACAGAAGGTCGTTTTTAAGCACAAGGGAGCTTTCCTGATAAATACTGTTTTGGGAAATTCGAAATTAAAGTTTTTAAATCCCTTTTCAGTCTCTTAAATAAAGGGGAGTTTTCTCCACATGCTGTGGAAAAATATAATCAAATTATGACAAATTGAAACAAACTGCTGCGCAAAGTGTAGGTGACATTGTGATTCCCCCGTTGATTAAAAAGGTATTCGAGGATAAGTTGTGCCACGAATAATATTTGACCGCACTGTACAATGCATTATTACAATTGCGCGTGCACCTTAAGATTCATCGTCACCAAAGAGGTTATAAATAGTTCTATTTATAATCTTTTTGATCCTCACAAGAATGGGTTAACATGTTCATGTGTACATAAAGAATTTCAAATATCGTCATCACTTCGTGGGTACAACACCATGCTTCCTTTGAGAATAAACACCTTCTAGATTACACATTAAAGGGATGTGAATGATATATTAATCAACAATGATTCCATGACATGTACAGTGACATTTTGTGAGTAGTGTAATATATTATGTGCACAAAAGAGCATCCTAGAGTCAAATTGTATCAATTAAAAAAAATAATAAAACATGAAAACGATAAACAAACATTTCAGAACATAGGTGATAGGTGTTATTTATTGACCAGCTGGGAAATACACGTAGAAGTGGGAGGTGGCTATTACCAGGAAAGTGATTGGTGTTATTTTAGTGCCTCGCTTGGAACTACATGTAGGTGGGTTGTTATCCCTTTAGAGGTGGCAAAATTGGGCGCCGGCTGTAGAAAGGTTGACAAGTACTGTAAAAGTTAACCCTTTCGGATATTGTACTTCCATTGATATGCAGAAATCATTTCTAAATAAATAATTTTTTTTGTATAGCCTTTTCCCTAAAGAGGGTTTATTTTTTTTTAGCATTCTTGCTCAGGAAGGCCACACTCTATGTTATGGCAAAACTGAATGTTCACCACACAAAAGGGTTAACTCAGATAAATCTGATGATTTTAATATATGGCCACATCATTATGAATCATTATCATTCTAACTGGGCTGGGAATCGGATAAGTGTGTACGCAGCTTCGGAGAAGTAGAACCCATAGATATGTAATATAATACGTATCCTAGATCGTGCACTGTGATGTACTTCCGTTTCATAATGGAGCATGCTATTTTTCTCAATTTGGAGCTTAATTAAACTCAAGGCCGCCCGAAAGGGGTGGGGGGG